CTATCTTTGTGACATTAGGTAGAACTTTCCAAATGGACAAGCAGATCCTCCTACTCTCCAGCAGTCGACAGTCTAGGAATAAAGTCAGACAGCATCTGTGGCCTAGAGCTGAGGTTTCCACACTTTGCAGTGACCTGCCTTCCTGAGGTGCCTTGATGTGTGGCTTCGTTTGTTATATACTGTAAAACTTCATGGAGGGGCTGGAGAGATGGCTCAGCTGTTGAGAGCACTTACTGTTCTTGCAGAGGACCAGAGTTCGGTGCCCTGCACCCACATAACCACTTACGGCCATCCTTAACCCCAGTTCCAGGAGATCTGGCTTCCTCTTTCTGGCTTCTGAGGGCACGTATATGGTGCACATACACACATAAAAAATAAAAATAAATCTTAAAAAAAAATCTGCATGGGGGGCTGGAGAGATGGCTCAGAGGTTAAGAGCACTGACTGCTCTTCCAGAGGTCCTGAGTTCAATTCCCAGCAACCACATCGTGGCTGACAACCATCTGTTATGAGATCTGGTGCCCTCTTCTGGTGTGCAGATATACATGGAAGCAGAATGCTGTATACATAATAAATAAATAAAATCTTTAAAAAAAATCTGCATGGAAACGCTAACATGTTAAAACATGGAATTTGGGGTAACTTAGTCTGTGCTCCTAGACAAGGGTCACTCTCACTTGGCTCTCAAGTAAATGCTGTCTTAGGCCCTTTGAGGTGAGATCTACAGTGCCCTAAACAGACAAGCAGACAGCAGTATGGTCAGGGATCTGAGGAAAGCTTAAAAAGAGCAGGGGAATTCCATGTCACATGGTTGGTGAGTGCCACAGTCCTTGCTTGCAGCTGGGCCAGCTGAGTCAGCTCCAAGGGTGGGGAGGGCAAAATCTATAAAACAAGTTACTTTAGGATTCAGAAACTGTTACATTTCAACCAAAACAGAGGAGCTTCACAAAATGGCTCAGTTCTGACTAACAGTATCTTCAAGCCTTTCTCCCCACTGAAGACAAGCTGTTTGCCTCACTCACTATTTCCCAGTGCTCTTTCCCAGTAGTCATACCCGGAGTTCAGACTCTCTCCTCCCCAACACACATGGTGACATCTTCCTCCCTCCCCTCCATTAGAGCAGTGGCTTCAGACACGGTGTTCACACTCACCCCTGTGAAGGTGTTGTAAGCTAGGACAGACCTTCTCCTAAGCCACCCAGTGTGTCCAGCACAGAGTGAGACATAGTCACAAGTGAGGTCATGGAGTTATAGGTGGTTATGAGCCATCCAACTTGGGATAACGATCTTAACTACTGAGTCACCTCTCCAGCCCCCATTTTTTATTTACATTTTTTCCCACTTAAAAATTAAGTAAAATTCACTCTCTTCAAAGTAAAGTTCAGAGAACTTTGTATTTCCTACTGTAACTGAATTCACCACTCCCCGCAAACTTCACCATAGCCCCTGATAGCCCCTCAGCCCCTGGCAAACCCTGATGTGGTAGGCTTTTCTCTTATAGTGTTTCCTGTGAGAAGGGAAAGTTATGTAGGGTGGTTTCTGTGTTGGTTTCTTTTGGTGAAATCATATATATGTATACATATATATGATTTTAATGGCTCGTATTCTCCTGTTATCAATGAAACTTTTACTTAACTAAGCTTACAGACTTTCACAGCTGTGTGAGATACAATTCACATAATATAAAATCAACCCTGGGGCTGGAGATGCTTCTCAGTTGTGGAGTGCTTGCCTGGCATGCAGGAAGCCTTGGGTTCAATCCCCAGCACCGCATGAATAGGGTGTGGTGATGCACAGATGCCATCTTGGCACTCAGGAGGAGAGGCATAAATTCAAGACCATCCACAGCTACATAGGATGTTGGAGGCCAGCTTAGGGGACATGAGACTCTGTCTAAGAAAGTAAAATGTACAATCCTGGTATCTTCAGGGACTTCTGACTAGAGGGCTTCCTAGAAGTTCTAGAAGTCTTCTCTAACACAAAGAAGGACCAAAGGGAAAGTAGATACTGTCTAAAGCACTGGGAGTGGCGAGCCAGGCATAATGGCTTAGAAAGTATTATGCCTACCATCCAAGCACTAGGACCTGACTGTGTATCGCCAGTCCCCGTATAAAAGCTGACTGTGGTGTCATGCACTTGTCACTGTAGCAGGGGGTGAGAGTGGAGGCAGGTGGATTCCTGGAGCCAATTGGTTAGCCAATCTAACCATATCAGCGAATTCTAGGTTCAGCAACAGACCCTGTCTTAAAACCAACATGGAGAGCCATTAAGAAGCTTACCCAATGACTTCTGCTGGCCTCACACACACAAGCCCACACACATTGAGCCCATGCCTATGCGAAGACACACACATGTGCATATGCACACGATCACACATCCTGGGGGAAGAACTCCAGAGGATGAAACAGAGAAAACCACAAAGACCTAAGATGACCTTGCCAATGAGGAAATAAAGGGTTTCTGGAGAGATGGCTCAGTGTGTAAGAGCACTGGCTGTTCTTGCTGAGAACCTGGGTTCAAGTACCAGCATCTGCATGGTGGCTCACAATTGTCTGTATCACTTGGTGCCCTCTCCTAGCTTCTACAGACACCCAGCATACAGGTGGTGCACAGGCAGACATGCAGGCAAAACACTCTACACATACAATAAAAGAATATTTAAAAAAGAGGAAATGAAGTGCTTACAATCTGCCAGGAAACGGCACTATCTTCCCCTGACAGAGAAAGGTAAGCCAGATGACATTAGCATCCTCAGAAGACACTAACTACACATGTCTAGGATGACATCCACAGACACTAAAAGATTTTGCAACTGGGAAATCTGGCAGCCTTCAAGGACCCTGAACCCAGTATTAGAGTCATTTTCTTCTTGCATTGCTATAGGGGAGGAATTCAACCCTCTAAGTAGGCCAACAGTATGTAGCACCATTGTGAGACCAAATCCTCCTTTAAAAACAAAAAACAGGGTCTCATTATGTTGCTCTGACTGGCCTGGGACTTGCTATTTAGACCAGGTTGGTGTGGAACTCACAGAGATTCTCCTGCCTCCATCTCCCGAGTGTTGGAATTAAAGGCATGTGTCACCACTCTGGCATCAAACCCATTCTTGGTCTCACCCTTGCTGTCACATACACCACACCATCCCCACCCTGCACCGATAGAGCACCCCTATCCATGACCATCCCTACCCTGCACCTCTAGAGGCCCTGTATCCATGACCATCCCCACCCTGTACCACTGGAGAGCCTGTATCCATGACCATCCCCACCCCGTACCACTGGAGAGCCTGTATCCATGACCATCCCCACCCTGTACCACTGGAGTGCCTGTATCCATAACCATCCCCACCCTGTACCACTGGAGAGCCTGCATCCATGAGGAATCCCCAGAATTTGAGAAGTACCTGTCTCCTCTTCTGTATCAACTGTACCTTGCCTGTGTGGGCCCCAGAGCAGCTCTGCCCTGACACAGAACCACAATCAGACATGAGTGCTCTGTGTCCACCTCAGAGCTTCCAAGCCTGCCCTACTGATGTCACTGGTGTGTATCCAGCTGACGAGGCTGTACACCACCAAGCCCACCAAACCAAAACCCTAAGGTGCTTCTCCAAGGGGCTGTCTCTTGGAACCTATGACAGTTTGGACAAGTGTCTTCTAAAGGCTCATGTGTTAAAGGCTTGGCCACCTGTCTGTGTATACTGAGAAGTGACAGAACTTTCAGGAGGTAGGGCCTACTGTCACCTTGACACAAGTCAGAATCATTTGGGAAGAGGGAATCTCAATTGTGACTATGCCCTCACCAGGTCGGCCGGTGGGCAAACCTGTAGTGCATTTTCTTGATAGATGATTGCTATAGGAGGACCCATCTCTCTTTGAGCAGTGCCACCCCTGGGCAGGTGGTCCTGGATGCTATAAGAAAGCAGCCTGAGCAGGCCTTGGGGAGCAAGCCAGTAAGCAGTGCCTCTCCATGGCCTCTGCTTCAGTTCCCTTCCCTGACTTCCCTCAGTGATGGACTGTACCTGAAGTGAGACAAACCCTTCCCTCCCCCAGTTGCTTCTGGTCATGGTGTTTCATCACAACAATAGAAACCCTTACTAAGACTGCTACTGAGAGGGAGTTAGGTTATTGCTGCCTAGTGTCCTCCGTGTGTGTGTGTGTGTGTGTGTGTGTGTGTGTGTGTGTGTGTGTGTGTGTTTGTATGTGTGTGGTGTCTGTCTGTCTGCTTTCCATACCTTCTCCTCAACCCCTTTTTTCTTTTTCTTTTTCTTTTTCCTTTTTCGTTTCCTCGTGGTGTCTTGAAACACAGAAAATCTAAATTTGTTTTGGATTTTTTTAGTCATGTCTCTCATGCAGCCTAAGTTGACCTCAAACCCACTGTGTAACTTGATCTTGGTAATCTTGGATTATTCATCCTCCTGCCTCTGCTTCCCTTGGGCTGGGCATTCCAGGTTTGTGCCATCATGCCTATCTTTGGGATTTTAATTCTCTGGTCTTTTTTCCACTCTATGGCTCCTGTCTTCAGTTTCTTACATCTCTACCTCAACACACATATATTTGTTTTGCTTTTAAATATCTTCTTACTTAATCTTTAATTCCTCTTGTGGTTTTGTTTAGCCTAATTGTAAAAAGGAGATGAAAATTTTTTCCCAATAATTCAAGATATTTTCTTGGCTTTTGCTAGTCTCTGATTTGGGTAACTTTAAGATATGCTAAATATGTGTATGCATTTGGGCTTCTCTGGCAAGATTCTCACCTCTATTTGCCCTTGGGTGATCTTAAGGGGTGAGTCCTAAAGAGGAGGAGGAGGAAAAACAAGATGAACAAGACTGTCAAATGCTATAAAGAGAATAACTTGAAAAAATAACTTAGAGAGAAATACATAGAACAACTATTCTACTATAGGAGATGAAAAGTCTTAAAGTCAGAAGTTAAAATGAAAACAATAAGTTTATCCAGCCAGGCATAATGGTGGATAATTCAATCCCAGCTCTGGGGAAGTAGAGGCAGGCATATGGATCTCTGTGGGTTTGAGGCTAGCCTAGCTTGGTCTACATAGACAGTTCTAAGACAGTCAGGGTGATGTATAGACCCTGTCTCAAAAACACACACACACACACACACAAAAAAAAAAAACAGTTTATCTTAAGAGACAAGAAATAACAGAGAATGTTTGTCATTTGATGGGTGTTTGTTTCAGGTTTATTTTATTTTAGAGTATGGGTGCTTTACCTGAACGTATGTCTGTGTATAACATATTGCAGTGCCAGAGGAGGCAAACAGGGCATTGAGTCTACTGGAACTGCTGTCCTCTTCCGGTTACTTCTCCTCTCTAATTTTTAACATACATATTCTAATTTAATTTTAATTGTTACTTATTTATGTATTTCATTGAAAATAGATTCTTCTCTCATACAATATATCCTGACCACAGTTTCCCTCCCTCCCTCCCCTCCTCCCAGCCCCTCCCACACATCTCCCATCAAAAAATAGCAAACCTCCAAGAGATAACAACCAGACATGACAAAACAAGATGCAATAATGCAAAACAAGAGCCCTCAGACCAAAGCTGAACAAGGCACCCAAACAGGAGGGAAACGTGCTGTCTTCATGGTCTCCTTTTCATGGTTGCAAGGCTAGCATTCAGCTTGCTGTCCATAGTGGATGTCCATGATGAATGTCTGGTGTCCAGGCATACTGGATGTCACCTGCTCTGAACATCACTCTGGCATGTGACATTTTTTGTTCCCTAAAGGACATCCCCACACACACACACACCCACATATGCACACAGTCAATAATCGTGTTTGTACAACCAGACTTTCTCTGTGAAGATGAAATGAATGACCTCGCTTGATAAATCAACACAACACTGACCCCTGGTGGTCAGCTCCTGTGTATAGCTGGGTGAATGGACTGTTTAGGGTGGTTTTTGTCCTGTTAAAGCCAGTTTTTTTCTTTAACTTTTTGACTTCCTCTGTTTGTAGTCTGCAGATCACAGCCTTTCTTGGTTCCCCATTTTATCATTTAAGTCATTTTTTTCTTTCATTTTTAAGGAATCTGGAGCAAGAGGAGAGGAAGCTCAGAGGAAATGGTGTTACTGTGTTCCACTCTGATGCAGTCCAAGAGACTGAACTTAAGCACAAGTGGACATACACAGTGCTTGTGAGTAGCTCACTCCAGAAACAGAGCCTGTGAGACATATGTTCTAATGGAGGCAGGAGAGAGAACGAGAAAGTCCTGAAAGAAAAGGCAGAGGTGTAGGGTTCTGGGAGATACTTGAGCTGGTGCTGGGGTGCTGTGAGAGGGTCTGACCCCAATGCAGATTAACTTCCCATGGGTGGTCAGCTTGGGGGAGCTATGGGCTGTGGGGGTGTGGGTCTTAGGGTGCTGGGTGCCAGAGTGACAGTCACCACTGGTGATTTGAGGGGGAGGCCTGGCACTTGTCTGCCATGGGCTGCTTGGGGGCTTCAGTAGGGTTGTAGTACTCAGTGGTTGGGCAGCTCTGGTCACTGCATAGGGCTGGGAGAATAAGCATTCTTCTCACATCCTGAGAGATAGCCAAATGTGCCCAAGGACTCGGAGATGTCAGGAAGGCTGGCATATTCCGTAACCTCCAGCTTCACTGTCTCAGCTGTGTACTCCTGTCTCTGAGGAAGAAAGGTGAAGGGGAAATTCACAACCGAAGCCTTTCTACATTGCCTTCTCCTGCCTCAGGACTGCTATCTGGAACCTTCTTCCTTCCTCTTCCTCCCCAGCCCTTCCTTCAGGCATCTTCTGCTTGTCTCTGACCCAGAAGAGAGATTTCCAACAAGGGCCCTGGGGCACTCTCCTCCTGGGAGGCCGCTTTCTAAGGAATGGTCAGGGAGTCCAAGCAATGGCACTTCCATCCATCTCCCCAGGATGGGACAGTTGTGACCCCAGCTCTACTGCCCCTGTAATGTACATTACACTGGTATGTATGTGGGGGTGTGTGCATGCGTGTATGAGTGTGGCATGTGTGTACCTGTGCATGTGTGTACCTGTGCATGTCTGTGTGTACGTGTGCATGTGTGTGGTGTTTGAGCTCACTGAGCTCTGAATGTGAGGCTTTCCTGTGCCCCATTCAGAATGAACTAGGTTTGTTTCAGAGTGTCTTCCAAGGCCTCTAGTCTGGGGACAGGTGGGGCCTAGCCCTTCTAACCTTGTGGCAGGGAGGGAAGGGAACAGCAAAAACAGGCCAGGAGTGAAAACATTGTGCTCCTGGGAGCAGCTGAAGGGTGACATCTCCGGAAGCCACTATTGTGATATGAAGGGCAGGGGCAGAGAGGCCATGGGAAGCTGATGGGTGGAGGGAAAGCTCTACTGGGAACCAGTGGCTGCTTCAACTTCCCTGACTGTTTTTTTGTGGGGTGTTGTGAGTTTGATGGTATCTGTCTTCTGTTTGTTTGTTTTCGGAAGCCCAACCTGAGGGTTCAGACACTGCTCTGCTTGGGACTCTATTGGAAACTCCAACTGATGCCTGCATGGGGCTTCCTTAGTTTCAATGGATGTTTTAAGTGATCAGTTTCATGATGGTTTGCTCTCTCTACTACTATTTGGTGTTTAATCCTTTACTTTGGCTTGCTATGTAATTAATAAACACATTCATTCAAAACTGAAAACATGATTATTCTAGATCACTCACTGGATCTTATAGAGCACCCTCACCCCAAGCCAGGTCAACTTACTTGGCAGCACCTCCCGCAAAGGACCACACAGAAAACTGACAGCATCAGGCCCTTGAACAGGAGGAGTCCATACTGCACGAAGACCAGAATTCTCGGGGAGATGCAGCCAGGAGAGGAAGGAGAACTTTGGTTTCTGGAGGCAGGGAGCAGAAAGAGGAGCCTGGGTCGGGACATCGCTTGCTTCTAAGTGGCCCCCAGCTGGGAGTTTATGTGCACAAATGCCCACCCTGAACTCTGGAGGGACAATGGACACGAGTGGGGATGAGAGCCGTGGGGTCTCTGAGCCTGAGAGGAAACCCACTTGTAATAAACCCAGCTGGAAGGGTAAAAACTCTGGCTTGGTATCTGAACAGCTGAGGGAAGGACCCTCCTCCCTGGAGGGTCAACCAGAGAGCCATCAAGCCAGCCCAGAAGCAGGGGCTGCTGCAGTCACAAAGACAGGTCTGCTGGGAGGAGGTGTCCAGAGCTCTACAGGCCAGTGAGGAGGTCACAGAGAGCCACTTATGAAGGGGACCTGAGTTGTTATTCCTTAATGGCTCTCTCTGGTCCAGAACTGTGCAGTCTCTGGAGCTCATCTTTTGGGTTGTGAAATTTTGGCTGATCCTTAAGAGGCTCTGAAACAGGGTGGGGGGGGGTGTTGCTCTGCCCTCTCATAGATGGGAGGAGTCTGTGCCACCACGGACTATACTCAGGGTTCAGGAGCCCACAACAGTCCCAACTGGAAACACTTCCCTGTACCTGGCCACATTGCTCATTATCAAGATGTGAGGTGGTGATCCTTGGTGATTTTAACTTATTGGCAGGAGTGAACACATACATTTGCCTTTCAGATTTTCTCTTCCACTAATTGCCTTTCTTGTCTGACATTTTCCACTGGGATTGCCATCTTTTTCTTTGAGAACCATAAACCACACTGCTGTGTTTGTCTTCAGCTTTTTAAAATTAATTTTCTCAGTCTGCTATCTGCGTGTGAACATTTCCCACAATGCTGTTTGTTGAGTAGAATTCCCCCTCCTTGAACACACCCTCCCCATGATGTGTGTTTTTAAAGTTTTCTGAAAAAAAATCAAACAAACATATAAAACCATCTCCTCCTCACTCAGTCATCTGCTTTTCATTTATTTATTTATTTATTTATTTATTTATTTATTTATTTATTTGTCAGGGTCTTCCTATTGAGTAGCCCTAACTGTCCTGAAACTCACTATGTAGACGGCTGACTTCAAACTCATAGAGATCCACTTGCCTCTGACTCCTGGGTGCTGGGATTAAAGGAGTGTGCCACCATGTCCAGCCTCATTGCTTTTTAAAAAATTAACTTGAGTTTCTTTTTACTAGTTATGCAGTTTGAATCTATCTGGAAATCAGATTGTGTATAGTAATGGAAGTTGGAGTTCATTCTTAAATTATGTAACTAGTCTTCCAAATAATGGGACCTTGCCCCAAGTGTTTTGGAGGTGTCACTTTATGTTACAGTCTGTCCCTGAATTTACACAGATCTGCTGCATGCCTCCAGCCTTGTCCCCTGTTCCACTCATCCCTCCTTTTTTTTTTTTTTTTAAGATAGTGTTTAAGATAGTAGCTCAGACTGGCTTCAAACTCTTTCTATAGACCAGGATGACCTTTAACTCCGGATCCCCTGGCCTCAACCTGCCAATATGGGGATTACAGACATGTGTGGCCACAGCAGACTCCTCATACTTCCTGAGCCTTTAATGCACTATTCTCAGAGGTAACACTTTTTAAATTTATCTTTATTTTACATTTGGTACGAATGTTTTGCCTGCACATATGTATGTACCATGTGCATGCCCACAGAGGCCAGAAGAGGGTGTCAGATCCCAAGAATTGGAGATACAGGCATTGTAAGCCTGTTGTGGAGATTGGGAATTGAACCCAGGCATGATCTTTGTTGATCTTGTATCTGACAACCTTGCCTAGCTCAACAGTTGATTGATTCTGGGAGTTTTCTTATTTTGAGTTTTGTTGTTGATTGTTGGATTTGGGGAAGTAGTTGGGTTTTTTCTAATTCTGTTTGTTGCTGTTTTTTAGAGCTAGCTGTTTGTGTAGCCCTGGCCTTGCAAGGGTCTCTTTCTTAGCCTAGAGCTCACTGGTTGGTGAGACTAGCTGGCCATCGAGCCCCTGAGATCTGCCTGTCTCTGCTTCCCAACACTGATTACAGACACATGCTGCCATACCCAGCTTTTATGTGGGTGCCAGGGACCCAAACTCTGGTAGTTATCCTTGCATAGCAGAACACTTTCTTTAATCATTGAGCCATCTTTCTAGCTCTGAATGAGTCTGTGATCTGAGACCCTTCCTTTTCCTACAATCCGGTGAAATTTATATGTCTATTCTTTCTTCAAACATTTCTTTCCACTCTTCCTCACAGGGTTTCTGGTTCATTCTGACCCTCCCTGTCTCTTCTACAGCTCTTCCAGTGCTCGGGACCTGCCACCCAGCCCCCATCCTTCTTTCCCCACCTCCCTGTCTGCACTAGGGATATCCTCTGCAGAACTCGGTGTCCAGACATCCTAGAATGGCCCCGGGGCTCCCTGGTTCCTTGACTATATGATCTCCCAGGACCCTCCCTCTAAAGACACCTGACTCACCTGTGCTCAGAGCCATTGATGAAAGAGCCAGTGGTTTCCTCTGGAGAAGTGGTCAGAACTAAGAAAGACACAAAGATGGTGGTTGCTCAGATGACCAGTACAGAGGCCAATACTGGGTCCCAAGAACCATGAGAGGAAGTAGAGAAGGGTTTCAGATGGAACCCCACCTCACAGCTCCTAAAATCTTTAGCTTATACTTAAATTTTTTACACATATAATGGCATCATCCCTAAAGGCCAGCCTCCCCTAACCTCACCACCCCCCAGTTGCCTGGCTACCCCCTCTTTCCTCTTGGCAAGCCTACCTGTGCTTGTTGGGAGCCAGGTGGCCATCTTTGGAGGAAGAGTGGATGAGGCTAGAGGGAAAACGAGAAGACAGCTATGCATGAAAGGGAGAATGGGGTCTAGGCCCTAACCTGGGAAAGATGTGGGAGGCTCAGGGTAACTGGGCCTAACATCTTTAACTTCAAACAGTTACATATTTATTGGCTGTTGAGATAGCCTGAAGACCTGAGTTTGAACCTTTGAACCCACAGTGGAAGGAGAGAGGCCACCCCAAAAGTTATCCCCTGACCTCCACACGTGCACCACGGCCCATGCATTCATACACATGACAACAAGAATAATAATAACTTTTAAAGGGGCTTTTACACATCATTCTATGTCACTTGCTGTTTCAATGCTTGTATATATTGTGTGACACTCAAACCAAAGTCAACCTGTGTACTCAATATTTATGATTTATTCATGGTAAAGACATTAAAATCCTTTTCACAAACTCTTAAGAATGTTTGGGGCTGGAGAGATGGCTCATAGGTTAAGAGCACTGGCTGCTCTTCCAGAGGACTGGGGTTTGATTCCGAGCACCTACAGGGTGACTCACAACCATCTGTAACTCCAGTTCCAGGAGATACAACACCTTCTTCTGACTACATAAGAACCAGGCATGTACAAGTTGCACATATATACATGCAGGCAAAACATGCATACACATAAACTAAGTAAACATTCTAAAGTTTTAATAAAAAATAGTATGTTACTGTCGTCTATGATCTCTCCACTGTGCAACACAAGATTGGAATTTTCCCCTTCATATTTCTCTTTAGCCCAGCACGTATCACTCGTTTCTCGCTTCTCTCAGCTTGTGGTACCCACCCATCAATTTCCAATGTCTATTAAATCAGCATTTGATTGTTGTTGTTTGGTGGTTTTTGAGATAGGGTTCCACAAAGTAGCTCTGACTTGCCTAGAACTCCCTGTATAGACCAGGCTGGCCTCAAATTCACAGAGATCCACCTGCCTCTGCCTCCTGAGTGCTGGGATTAAAGAAGTGGGCCACCACTTTTTTTTTTTTTAAGTCAGAGTTTCATGTAGCCCAGGCTGACCTTCAGCTTACTGCATAGCTCAAGATGGTGACCTTGTGATCCTCCTGCCTCCACCTCTCAAGAGCTGGGATCACAGGTTTGGTAGGACACAGTACTTGCAGCTGTTTTCACAACAGCTGTACTAGTCTACACTCCCACGGGCCAGAGGGTTACCTTTCTCCACGTCTTCCCCGTACCTGTTACCTTTGCTCTTTTCAGGAGGAGTGATTCTTACTGGAGTGAGATGGTCTATCTCACTGTGGTTTTCATTCACATGTCCCTAGTAGTCAGTGATGCTGAGAACTTCCCTGGCCGTTTGTATGTTGTGCTTCGGTTTGGTGTTTAAACCTGCTTAGGTTGAACCAGGGATCTTTATGCCTGAATCAAATGTGGTGTGGGTGGCACTGGACCAGATAGCACACATCATCTCTCTCTATCCGAAGCCCTGGAGGGCAGCTTCCTCATTGTCAAGTCCCCAGGGGATCTACCCGAGGGGAAGGCCCCACTGAATCTCAGGCTCCCGTGTTCCCTGACCAATCATCTTTGCTCCTCGAAAACCTACCCATCTTTGTTTGGAGCCAGATGCTGGTCGATGGAGGAAGAGTGGACAGGACTGTAACAGAAAGAGAGAGGATGACTGAGTGCGGTCCTGAAGGGCGAATCCAGTCTAACCCCAAAACAGTGACGGGATATAGGGGAGCCCAGAGCAGGTCCTGGGGGGAGGGGTCCCTCGGGTCAGCAGTGATCTGTACTGGTGCCTGTGTGAGACGGCTCGGCCACTGACAACACAGCTACTCCTGCAGAGGAGCTTAGTTTGGGTCCCAGCACTCACACTGGGTGGTTCACAGCCACTTGTGACTCTAGCCCCAAGGGATTCTGGCCTCCATGGCCACAAGCATACATGTGCCAGTAAAGACATTCCAATTTTTTTTTTTTTTTTTTTTTTTTTGAGACAGAATCTCACTATGTAGCTCTGGCTGGCCAGGAACTTGCTCTGTAGACCAGGCTGATGGTAACTCACAAAGATCCACCTGCCTCTGCCTCTCTCTCTGCCCCTCTGCCTCTCTGCCTCTCTGCCTCTCTGCCTCTGCCTCTGCCTCCCAAATGAGGTTAAAGTTGCACCATACCAGGCTAAAATAAGTAAGAGTCGGGAGAGACTCCAGGTTCCTGCTCCATGAGACTTAGACACTTTTTCTCGGTTCCTGAGTCAGTAATGACAGAGATAGGAAGCTGTCCGAGGGGACAGAGCACCACGCTCTCCCCAGTCAGAGCAGATGTCAGGATTGGGGGTGACAGAGACAAGGGATAAACAATAGATATTTTCACTTGGTCCCTAGGAGCGGCCTCACCTGGAGACACCACCAGGCTGATGTTTCTGAGAATGTTGATCACGTTGCGGGAAGGGTTAAATGACCCGCACCAGTAGACTGCCGAGTCCTTCTCCGTGAGCGGAGTGATGGTGACGCTGAAGAAGCCAGCTTCGGGATCGTCCCAGATGGCGTGTTGTGATTCCTTGATGGCTTTCCGAGGCTCAGAGGTTGTGACCACTCGGTTACATCTATTAGGAGATGTCTGCCGACACCAGGATTTCGGCACATAAGGCCCTGCCTCGGGTTTGTACTGGCACCTCACGGAGAAGTTCTGTCCCACCACTTGGTGAAGTTCCTCAGATACAACTGTCGACCCCCAGGTACCTGGACAACAAACCCTCAGGTCAGAGCCCCAGCTGTATACAGTTGTTTACAGGGCTGGGAAAGCTGAAGGGTGATGACATCTAGCACCCAGGCTCAGAGCACGGCCCTGAAGCCACCCCTGATCACAGGGTCAGCCTGATCCCTGCCTGACCCTTGTCCTTTCTTTCCACTTCTCAACCCCTTGTGTCCCCAACCATCTCACCTGAGGCCAGGAGGGGCAGCAGCACAGGGGCCAGTAGCAGCTGTGAACACCTCCAGGCCATAACCCCTAAATTCTGTCAGTGGAGGAGAGGAGAAGAAGGGAGGCTTTGGATGGGGTAGGCAGGAGTCTCCCTGTTTCTCAGCATCTGTGAGCTGCAAGACCTGAGGAAGAACAGGGGCTTTGATTGGGGAAGTGGTTGGCCTGGGTAGGCGGGCTCTGGAGACCTGTGAGAGGAACAGCAGCCAGGCCTGGATGGGGGAGCCCCACTGTAGGGTCCATCTCTAGTCTTCACACCTCAGCTCTGCCTCTGCTCCTTGCCTTCCTTTTGCTCACCCTGTCCCCATCTCAGACTCTCAATACCATCTACCATTCATACTCCATTACTGCTATAAAAAAACTAAAGACAAAACCATATGAAGTAAGAGGGCTGTTCCTCTTTTCTTTTTCCCTGAGAAAGGTCAAAGGCCCCTAGAGGCGTGTCAAGAGTCTTGGTGTACTCATTCACCCCAAGATAAGTCAGGGGCCTCACTCCCAGGCAACAAAGTATTTTTATCCTGGAAGATTTGTGGGGCCCCCAGAGTCCAATGCCACGCTATAAGGATAGTCCCTGGAAAAGTGGGGGTGGGGGCTACTAGGCAGTAAAAGAGTGTTCTGAGGAAGGGTTATCAGAAGGGAAGTCAGGGGCGATCGAACACTTAGGGGTGAGAAAGGAAGCAGGGAAATTCATGACCATGTCAACTGGTGTTTGCTGAAGGGACACATGAGCGAGTAAAAACATGGAAAATCATCACGTTCAAAAGTCTCACATGCAAAAATGTGTGGAGGAAATGGTGACCTATGCTGGAACACTTAGCAATAAAATAAATTGATATTAGACTTTATATTGAAAACATAAAATAGCCACAAGTCCACACTGGTGAAGGAAGATGGCAGAGTAATTAAACACGTGGGAGAGAGCAGTGCCTCCTGTGTGCAAGGATCCCACGATGGGGGACTGAAGGCCGGTGTCCCCATAGTCATGTGATGAAACTTAACTCCAGAAGAGGCAGGGCCTTTGAGGAGTTGACAGGGTCACATGGGCTCCATGCTCATGAATGACATTGGTGCACTTGTAAAATAGAGCAAGGGAGACTCTGCCCTCAGCCCTGCTATGGTTTGCACATGGCATACTTTCTCGTAAAGGTGGGAGGGTCAGAAGCTCAGTCTCCAGGTAGTTAGGAGCCTTTAAGGGGCCCGGCATGGGGGTCCTTAGGACAAGTGAAGCATGCCCTGGACAGTACTCATGGGGTCCCAGTCCTCCCCCCTCTTTCTCTCCCTCCCTCCCTGCCCTCTCCCTCCCTCCCTCTCTCTGGCTCTTGTTGGGTGACATGATTATAACAGACTCCTAACCTTTGATGCCATCTAATTTGAGGTCTTCATAGAGCTCATGCCTTTGAGTCTTCAGATGTGTTTGTTAAATAAGCCTCTTTTCTTTAAAAAGTAACCACCTCAGGTAATTTATTATAGTCACAGAAAATCAACACATGTGCCATCTTCTAAGCCTCCAGAAATTTATTACAAAATAGCCAGTCTGAGATATTTACATGCATGCTCTTCACTAAAGGAGAAGGGACATAATACCTGCTGCCTATGTATTAGCTGCCCATCAACGTGGTAAGCCACCCATTAAGCCACAACAGTCTCAAGCAATTTCCTCACACACATGTGCATGTCGGTATTTCAAATACCCTGGATGTTTCTCAGTCTCATGTGGCCATGACAGGCAGAGGTAGGAGAATCTGTGTGAGTTCCAGGACATTCTGGTACCGTCAAACACATGTGCAAAACTTGGACCTGGAGTAAAATGAGTGGGAACAAAAGCACCCCTTGTGTCTGGAGTCTGGAACCAGAGCTGTGCTGACAGTTTGCTAATTGGGAAATGCGCTGGTTTCATTTCTGTTTCCATGCTAGAGTACCCTGACAAAGGGCAAATTGGGGGAGGAAGGGTTTATTTTGCTGACATTTCTAAGTTACAGTCTATCACTGGGGAAGTCAAGGCAGGTCCTCAAGCCTTGAGTTACATCACATCCATAGGCAAGAGCATCATTGCTTGCCTGTGTTTTGCTCTTTCTCTGTTTTTTTTTTTTTTTTGCTGTTGTTGTTGTTTTGTTTCGTTTTGTTTTATCCCATTAGGAAACCTCTTCCTAGGGAATGGTGCCACCCACAGCGGACTAAGTTTTCCTACATCAAGATAGAGCTAAGGCAATACTCACAGGCCAACTTGATCCAAGTACTTCCCCAAGTGAGGCTGTCCTCTCTGAGTTCAGGCCATTTTGAGTTGATAGTTAAGGACAACTGTCAAGACTGAGAGACGGATGGAGGAGTCGGGAGTCAGCAGCAACCAATCAGGAAAGGCGTATGCATGCCACATCTAGGAAACTTAGCTCTCATTGGTAAGCCCTCAGTACCAGCTGGGACCTCACGGGCCATCAGAACACCCATTTTCTTGCTAGTCTTTTTTACTGTGTTCCACTCCCTAGGAATCTCCTATGCAGCAGCTGAGGGATGGAGATGGCATAGCAAAGAATTAAAAAAGCCAGCCGCCCTCTTGTCTTCCTGAGAGACCAAGATTGAGAAGTTTGGGGGAGGAACTTCAATTTGTTTATTGATTTGCAATGCTGGAAATCAAACCCAGAGCTTTGCACATGCTGGGCAATGAAGGACTATCACTAAGCTACATCCCCAGCCTAAAGCTTTAGTCATAAAATCAGTCTTCCTTCCCTACCCTAATTACTGAGCCGAAGTCAATATTGGAATCACTTTTTTATTTCTTTCAAAGTTGACACACAGGAGACTGAAGCAGTTAACAGAGTACTTGCTCCTCTTACAGAGGACTGGAGTTTGATTTCCAACACCCATGTGAGGTGGCTAACAATTCCAGTTTCAGGGGGATCTGACACCCTCTTTTGGCCTCCTCAGACATCTACATACACACACACACACACACACACACACACACACACACACACACACACACAGTCTTTTTTTTCCAGTCACCGCACAAAATATTTAGGAAAATGAAATTTTTTCTTCATGATATAACATTGAAATTCATCATTATACATTGGTCAGTATCCATAGAATGTGTGACACCAAAAGTAGACCCTAGAGAAGTCACCCTCTCCTGTGAGTGATGTCTGTGTGAGCTCCTCCAGTGTAGCAAATACACTGTTCTGAGGGACAGGGTGCTGTGATGGGAAGAACTTGGGGAGAGGCTGGGAGCTTCTTTTCACTTCTGTGATAAAATGTGCAGACGAAAGCAATTTAAGTAGGAAGCATAGATTCAGGCTCAGAGTTTGAGAATACAACCCAGGGAAGTGGGGTGTCAAGGCAGCTTGAAGCCACAGACAGGAAGCTGAGGGCAACTAGTGTTCAGCTCACTTTCTCCATTGTCCACAGGTCATCAGCCTGGTACCGACTCCTTCGATCTTCATTCCTCCCTCTCTGCAACTAGGTTCCAGAGTTCAGTTCAGTGTATATCTGTGGGTGTCTGCCTCTGCTTCCATCAGCCACTGGATGAGGGCTCTAGGATGGCGTAAAAGAGATGGCTCAGAGGTTAAGAGCACCGACTGCTCTTCCAGAGGTCCTGAGTTCAATTCCCAACCATCCTTTATGAGATCTGGTGCCCTCTTCTGATGTGCAGATATTTTATTTTTTAAAGACTTTATTTATTATGTATACAGTCTTCTGCCTGCATGCCAGCAGAGGGCACCAGATCTCATTCAAGGTGGTTGTGAGCCAACATGTGGTTTCTGGGAATTGAACTCAGGACCTCTGGAAGAACAGTCAGTGTTCTTAACCTCTGAGCCATCTCTCCAGCCCTTTAATCTAATTTTAAAATGTGTATTCCTACGTGTATTAGTCACTGTTCTATTGCTATGAGAGACACCACGATTAAGGCAACTCTTAGAAAGGAAAATATCTAATTAGGGGTGTTAAGATTTTCTCGTCTAGTCTCAGTCCCGATGGACCGGTTGGTTTCTCTCCAACTAATCAGATCCCCAAAGCTGCTATGAATAATCACTCTGAAACTTAATATCTATTTATAATTGTTTGGCCATTGGCTTGAGCTTCTTACTGGATAGTTCTCTCTTACTTATTAACCCATAACCATTAATCTGTGTATCTTCACATGGCCTTATCTTACCAGAGAATGCCTGGCGGTCGTCCTACCTTCCTGACAGCTACATGGTATCTGTCCTTTTTCTTATCCCTGCCCCTTTGTTCGGAATTCCCCCCTAGCTAAATCCTGCCTATTCTTGGGATGAAACAGGTTTATTCATCAACCAATAAAAGCAACACCTAGTCGCAGCATCCAGAAGGACCTCCCATATCATGGGGGCTTGCTTAGAGTTTCAGGGGCTTAGTCTGTTATCATTGCAGTGGAGAATGGCAGCAGGGAGCATGGAGGCAGGAAGTGTTATGAATACGACATGAGGTAGGACCTTTGGTAGATCCCATGCAGGTGAGGAACAAATGGTGGGTGAGAGACAGAGACCTGCAGACAAAACTTATGTAGAAAGTTTATTGGGGGAAGGGAGAGAGAGAAGGAGAAAAGAAAGAGAGAGAGAGAGAGAGAGAGAGAGAGAGAGAGAGAGAGAGAGAAAGCTGCTTCCTCAGAGAAACAGCAGAAAGAGAGAGTGGAAGTGGGCAGAGGTTTCTCTTTGTAGCTTTGGAGCCTATGCTGGCACTCGCTCTGGAGACCAGGCTGACCTCGAACTCACAGAGATCTGACTGCCTCTGCCTCCCAAGTGCTGGGATTAAAGGCTTGCACTACCAATGCCCAGTCCAGAGCTTGTCTTTTAAAGGGACCTTTGCACCTATATACAGAGCCATGCACAGAGGTGACACACTCTGCCAGGTCCCAAAGGGGCAGGGCTAGGTTTGCCTGAATTATTACAGGCAGGCATGGTGCTGGAGAAATAGTTAATCCTGAGAGAGAGAGAGAGAGAGAGAGAGAGAGATAGGAGAGAGAGAGAGAGAGAGAGGAGAGAGAGAGAGAGAGAGTACTCTGGGCCTGATGTGGGCTTTTAGAACCTCAAAGCCCACTCCCAGTGACATATATCCTCCAACAAGGCCACTCCCTCCTCAAATGGTGTCATTTCCTGATGACTAAGCATTCAAATATACAAGCCAATGGGTATTCAGAGTACCATATTCCACTATAGGTTTGTAGCCATATCATAAGTGGAAATGCTTTCAGTCCAATAGTCTATCACAGTCTCAGTACTGCTTAAAAGTCTAAAATTCAATGTCTTTTCTGAGCCTCATGGCAATCTCTTAACTGTAAAATCAAAATAAAAAAAAGCTGATCACACAGTTCCAACATACAACAGCACAGGGTGTTCATTACCATTCAGAAAGGGAGGAAAGGGAGCATAGAAAGGAACTATTGAACCAAATTATCAGCTAGGAAAACTCCAAACTCCGCATCTCTACGTATGATGTCAAAACAGTTTTTAGATCTCCAACTCTTTCCAGCTTTGTTGACTGCAACACACTTCTCTTTCTGTTCCACTCCCTGTTAGCAGTTCTTCTTGGCAGGTATCCCACAACTCTGGCATCTCTAACATCTTGGGGTCTCCAATACAACCCAGTCTTCCATCTTCACAGCTTTCCTTCCCCAGCCCTCCATGCAGGGACAGCCCTGACACACACTGGGCTCAGCAGTTTTCCTTAGCCATGGAGGGAGACTCCATAACCCCTTTCTTGTATCCTCGACTCTAAAGCCAGAGCCATGCGGCTGAAATTGCTAAACTCTTCTGCTTGATGTGGCTGGAACATGGTCCCCATCATTTAATTGCATCCGCATCACCTTCATTGCTTAAGCTTTTCTTTAATTACTCTCACGAGTTGGAAGCTTACCTGGGTAGGTTCTATCCTGAGGTCATTACTCTTTAAACCTTTGTTTTGTTGTTTTTGATATAGGGGTTTCTCTGTGTATCGCTGGCTGTCCTGGAACTGGCTCTGTAGGCCAGGATGGGATCAAACTCAGAGGTCCACCTAACTCTGGCTCCTGAGTGCTAAGATCAAAGCATGTACAACCACACCTGGATTTCTTTAAACTTTCATCTCCTTGAGCACTAAACTTAGCTCAATTACATTTCCTGGTGCTCCTTTTTTCTTTGTATTTCTCTTTGTCCAGCTTGTTCCTTTTCATTATAGATCTGCACAAACATGACCACTAATAAACACAACAGAGTCAATACTAGGTGTCTTGAAATCTCTTCTGTCATTAGTCCAAAGCTCTTCAATTTAGCCTCAGGCAGATTTTTAGAACAAGGGCCAAAAGCAGCCACATTCTTTGCCAAAACCTCACAAGAGAGGTCTCCAGGCCACATACTAACATTCTTCCCATCTGAAACTTTTCAAGCTGGACCCCCATGGTTCCAGTTGCCCTAGCACTGTTTTCCACACTCCTACTAGAATGCCCCATTAATTCCCGTTTAAAGCATCCAACTGCTTGTCTAGTCTAAAGTCTTCCACATTCTTCCAGCAAACAAACATCATGGTCAGGCCTGTTCAATAGTACCCACTCCCTGGTGACACATCAATTAACACGGACAAGTTAATCCTTCACAGACATTCTTAGGACCTAACCTTAATCTAGACAATCCCTCCTAGATATGCCTGGAGACTTGTCTTCTAGGGGATTTTATATTCTGTCAATTTGACAATTGACACTCACTATCATAGGAAGGATATGGGAACTCTATATGTTTTCTCCTTGATTTTGCTGTAAACTTGAAACTGAATAAAAATGGATTTTTAAAAAATTATCAGAAGAGGGACAGGTTATGTTGTATAGGTTTTACCAGTCCATAGCAGGGTAGGCCTGGCTACCAGGAGGGGAATGGAGACAAGGTTTTGAGGAGGATTCTCTGTGAGCCATACTTGGCTACTCTACAAGGCCCAAATGTCTTACACTTTCATGGTCTCCACTGATGACTCATAAGGCTCTTTCTACCCAGCCCTCCTTAGAGCTGTCCTCAGGGGTGACAGGAACCAAGGAAGACTCAGATTGTCCCCAATACAGAGCATATGGTATGCTGCTAATGCATGAAGAAAGGTATGCTCACAGCTCTTAGCAGGAAGGCTACTGTTTCTCAGACTCCCTGTACTTTGGACTCCTTGGACAACTGTGACACTTGTTCAGGGAAAGAATAGATGGACTTTAGAAATTACCAGTTCAATGCAGGGAATGGTGGTGCACATCTTTAATGCCAGCCTCACTAGACAGAAGCAGATGAGTTCCAATTTGGCCAGGACTACATAATAGACCCTATCTCAAAACAAACAAAATCAAAAAAAGGAACTGACTGGCCCAGAGATCCCAGGCTTGAGTCAAGCCTCCCCACTCTGAAGGAGAGCCTGATGGCCCACCCTTGGGTCTTCCTAACCAAGGGAAGCCCACTAAGAACATAGATTAGTGCATGGATTTTAAAAGACTTTGTATTTTAAAAGAAACTGGCTATTTTAAAGAGACTGAATTTTTAAGTGTTTGAATTTTTTAAAATTGTGGGACTTTGAAAATTTGAAATGTTTATATTGTGTTGTTGATATTAATGTGTGATCTTTCAAAGAACAAGAAAGGAAAAGTTATGTCTTAACAGTGATGTTTGTGTGTCAAGTTGACAAGGGGCCAATTGTGTTAGCTAGTTTTATGTCAGCTTGACACGAGCTAGAGTTACTTGGGGAACCTCAGTATAGAAAATGCTTCCATCAGATCCAGCTGTAGGGAATTTTCTTAACCAGTGATTCATGGGGGAGGGCCCAGCCCACTGTGGGTGGTGCCATCTTGGGACTGGTGGTCCTGGGTTCTATAAGAAGGTGGGCTGAGTAGTCCATGAGGAGCAAGTCAGTAAGCAGCATCCTTCCATGGCCTCTCCATCAGCTCCTGCCTCCCGGTTCCTGCTCTGTTTGAGTTTCTGTCCTGGCTTCCTTCAATGATGAACTACAATGTGGAAGTAAAAGCCAAATAAAACTTTTCCTCGACAACTTGCTTTTTGATAATGGTGTTTCAATGTAGCAATAGTGACCTTATCTAGATAATGACCAACAGCAACTTGGGGAGGAAAGGATTTATTTTGTCTTATACTTACAGGTAACTGTCCATCACTGAAAGAAGTCATGCAGGAAGTCAAGGTAGGAACCTGGAGGCAGGAGCTGATGCAGAGGCCTTGGAGGGGTGGTGATTACTGGCTTGCTCACCAAGGCATGCTAAGCCTGCTTTCTTATAGAACCCAGGACTAGGGATGGCGCCTTCTACAATGGACTGGACTCTTTCACATCAATCATTAATCAGGAAAATGCCTCCACAGGCTTGCATATCAGCCAATCAGATGGAGGCATTTTCTCAGTTGAGGGTCTCTCTTCCAGATGAGCTTGTATCAAATTGTGAGACAGTTAACCGGGACAGCTGTGCTCATGCACCTTTTCTCCTGCTTTCTGCAGATGTCTGTCTCTCCTCTAGAATTCCCACCCTAGCTCGAATTTGCTACAGTGCTACATAACACCTCTCACTGCCAGACAGCTTCACATAATCTAGGCTCCTCTTTGTATTTGTCCCCACATCTGCCATCCCCTACCTGAAAGGGTAAAAAAAAATCCTCATAATCCATGGAGGAAAATGACCTCTCCTATGGGCCAAGACTCTCTCCCAAGTTCATTACCAGAAGACTATACTGACTAGGAGAGGAATGCTCACGGGATCCTAAAAGGTGAAAGATGAATGCTCCACTCCATCCTCCAGATGAAGGTGGACAGGGAATAGCCAAGGCCAATAGCTTATAACAATAAGTCTTTCCACCAAGCAGCCCGAGCCCTGCTGCCCTGTTAAGGTCCCAAGGAACATTCAGAGACTTCTATTAGGTACAAATGCTGCTTGGCCAATGACTGGGATTTCTCATCTGCTAGCTCAGTCTGAAGTATTAACCATAAAGACTTATCTTATTGGACTCTAGCTGCTGGCGTCTTCTCTTGCCAGGATCACATGACAGCTCCAGAGCAGAGAGCAGGAGGAAGAGAAAAAGGGATGACTTCCTTCTTGCCCTTGTTTATAAATGAGTCTGTCTGCTATGTCACTTCCTGCTGGCATCACAAAACTTTTTACTACATTTCCCAGAATCCTCCTTGACTCCTAGTCCTGCCTAACCTGCTTCTTCATTGGCCAACAGTACTTTATTCAACAACCAATAAGATAAACATATACACAGAAGGACCTCCCCCATCAACAGCTGTTCAACATAGTGCAGCATCACCCCTAAAAGAACCTTCCTGCCAGGAGGTCGAGGCAAGAGATGAAAAGTTAAAGGTCTAACCTGGGCTACAAAGCGACTTCATTTGTGGGATAATCTTTTTTGTACACTGAGAACACGTGCCTCTGCTAAGGCACCTTCTGATTGGCTTACTGGAGAGCTGAGTGGCCAATACCTAGGCAGGAGAGGCTAGACAGGTTTTCTGGGAAGAGAGAGGAACTTGGGGGAAGAATCAGAGAGGTGGGATTGACCAGCCAGACACAGAGGAAGTGGTATGTACAGCACTGAGAAGAGGTAATGAGCTACATGGCAGACCATAGATTAATATAAGCGGGATAGTTTAAGTTATAAGAGCTAGTTGGAAACAAGCTCTCATACTAATAAGAAGTTGTTATTTGGGAGCTGGAGGTCCAATAAAGTACAACTAGAACTTCAAGCTAGCTGGGCAACTGAGCAAGACCTATCTCTAAATTAAAGGTTTAAAACAATGGATATGGACACAACTCAGTGAGAGATTGCTTACCTTCTTGTCCTTCATTTGAGGAAAGAGTTTATTTGGCTGTCACTTCCATACCATTTTCTCTCACTGAAGGGAGTCAGGGCAGGAACTGAAGCAGAGGCCTGTTTACAAGCTTGCTTACTCTGCCTTGTGCTCAGTCAGCTTTCTTATATGACCCAGGCCACCGGCCTAGGGGTGGCACCTCCCACAGTGGACTGCACCGTCTCACGTCAATTAACCACCAGAACAATTCTCTACAGACAAAGCCACAGGCCACTCCAATCTGAGCAATCAATCCCTCAGCTGAGACTCCCTCTGCCCAGGTGATTTCTGGTTGTGTCAAGATGACAACATAAACCAACCAGGACATCTAACATGCCCTACAGTCCATCCTCAGTACTGGAAAAGGAAGAAAAGGAGAAAGGAAGAAAGGAAAGGAAAGGAGGAGGAAGAGGGGAAAGAGGAAGGGAGGGGGAGGGAAGGAAGGGATGGTGAGAGGGAAGGAGGGAAGAAGAAAGACTTGTAACCTAGATAAAACTGAAAGCAAAACAAAGAACTGCACCTGGCTGATCACTCCAGTCACCCCTGCAGGTGCCCTAAGTGGAGTGTTATTTCCTATTTCTTCTGCCATCCCTCCAGGAAGAGAAAACTCATTCAAGACGCCCTTTCTCAGCCATCTAAGCTTAAGGTTTCTCCCATTCCTGGAGAGAAGAAGGTAAAGATAGACGGTGTCACCATCTTGCTTCCTGCTCCTCCTGGTTTGGCTATGAGCATTGTGCTTCAGTTCATCCTGCTTAAACCTGATGCAGTTCCTGTGCTAGTTGGTGGACTGAGGCATTCTCAATGACTTTTCTTGTAGCCCTTTAATTAAGACTTCAGTAAAAAGGACTAGGTGAAAATGAGGCGATGGACTCAGAGAAAGTGGGTCCAAACTCTCTCCCAGTGCCTGGAGCAGGTAGACTCGCCCCAGAGTAAAATACAAATGGGACTTTTAGCTCTCTGTGATCAATACATACAGAGGAACCCAAAACATGGCAGCTATGAAATGCCATAACGGGAAGCCAGACGGACAGGGGCTTAATGAGACACAAAGAAGGTAAGGGAAGTGCCCAGGGTCACTGAGGAGGTTCAGGGCAGAAAGCAAATAAAGATCTGGGGTCTTCTGCTAGTCCCTGAAGCAGCACTTTGCTCTGTCAAGGGCTGCTGAATTAGTCCTTGCAGGGCTTTCAAGGGCGAGTCTAAACTTTCAGGGCGGGTCTAGGCTTTCAAAGGCGGGTCTAGGCTTTCAGGGGCGGATCTAAGCTTTCAAGGGCAGGTCTAGGCTTTCAAGGGCAGGTCTAGGCTTTCAGGGCGGGTCTAGGCTTTCAGGGGCGGATCTAAGCTTTCAAGGGCAGGTCTAGGCTTTCAAGGGCAGGTCTAGGCTTTCAGGGCGGGTCTAGGCTTTCAGGGGCGGATCTAAGCTTTCAAGGGCAGGTCTAGGCTTTCAAGGGCAGGTCTAGGCTTTCAGGGCGGGTCTAGGCTTTCAAAGGCGGGTCTAGGCTTTCAGGGCGAGTCTAGACTTTCAGGGCGGGTCTAGGCTTTCAGGGGCAGGTCTAGGCTTTCAGGGGCGGGTCTAGGCTTTCAGGGGCAGGTCTAGGCTTTCAGGGGCGGGTCTAGGCTTTCAGGGGCAGGGGGCACAGCAGCTGCCCCACTGCAAAGCTAAGCCAAGGGCTCCATTTCGGGTGTCATGTGATTCCCTTATCACAGGTCTTACCACCCTGTCACGGTGTGGTCTTTTCGATTTTCTTTTGTGTGCATTAGTTGGCGTGAGTGAGCAGAGCAGCCTAGGTCAACCTCAGTGTTCCTCAAGCCCTCTGCTTATTCTGAGACTGGTTCTCACTAAGTAGCCCTGACTGGCCCAGAACTTGCTATACAAATGGGCTGCCCTCAAACAAGAGCAGATTCTGCCTCTGCTCTCCAGTATTGACATTAAAGCCACCACCACACTCAGCCTATGGGTTTTGTTTTCTCTGTTTGGCTTTTTACTCCCCTTTTTGAGACAAAGTCTTTCTATGGGACTGTAGGCTCACTAATTTGGCTTTGTTTTTCCTTCAGTACCATGTATTGAATTTAGGACCTCACATGTGCTAGGCACACAACACTGAGCTACATTCCAGCCCGAAATTCTACCCGCAAATCCTGTGCAGTTCAATTCAAGCCTGGACCTGTTCCCATGAGATGACCACACGTTCAGGTAAGCCAAACATATAGACCCTGTAGTGACATGTCCCTCCTGTGCTCACCCCGTGGTGACATGTCCCTCCTGTGCTCACCCCGTGGTGACATGTCCCTCCTGTGCTCACCCCGTGGTGACATGTCCCTCCTGTGCTCACCCCGTTCCCCTCCTTTTTTGCTACATTGTTTACATGTCCCTCCTGTGATATGTCCCTCCTGTGCACACCCTGTGATGACATGTTCCTCCTGTGCTCACCCTGTGGTGACATGTCCCTCCTGTGCTCACCCTGTGGTGACATGTCCCTCCTGTGCTCACCCTGTGGTGACATGTCCCTCTCGTGCTCACCCTGTGGGGACATGTCCCTCCCGTGTTCACACTGTGGTGACATGTCCCTCCCATGCTCACACTGTGGTGACATGTCCCTCCTGTGTTCACCCTGTGGTGACATGTCCCTCCTGTGATATGTCCCTCCTGTGCACACCCTGTGATGACATGTTCCTCCTGTGCTCACCCTGTGGTGACATGTCCCTCCTGTGCTCACCCCGTGGTGACATGTCCCTCCTGTGCTCACCCTGTGGTGACATGTCCCTCCTGTGCACACCCCGTGGTGAGATGTCCCTCTTGTGCTCACTCTGTGGTGACATGCCCCTCCCATGTTCACCCTGTGGTGACATGTCCCTCCCGTGTTCACACTGTGGTGACATGTCCCTCCCATGCTCACACTGTGGTGACATGTCCCTCCCATGCTCACCCTGTGGTGACATGTCCCTCCAATGCTCACCCTGTGGTGACATGTCCCTCCTGTGCTCACCCTGTGGTGACATGTCCCTCCTGTGCTCACCCTGTGGTGACATGTAGCTCAGACTCACAGCTCCAACAGGGAGGTTTATTGATGACATTGGAGCCAAGGCATCAGGTCCCACTTTCCAAAAGCCACGTCCTTCTATAGGTCCCCAGGTTTTGAAACAGAGCAAGAGGGGCCAGCAGTGGCCTTGCCAATGAGGAACATCTGAAGGGCACTGAGCAGCTGTTCTGCTCTTCGGTATCTGTTCCTTCTCCACTGCTCTCTAAACCCCGCTGAGAAAGGCTGGAGAGAGCCTCAGTATTAATAGCATGGGCTGCTGGAGCAGAGGGACCAACGTGGCAGCCCACAACAATTCTGGGGCAGCTGATATTCTCTGGTGGCCCCTGGGACACTGCATGTACATGGTACATGGACATACATGCAGACAAAACAGTCATACACTTGTATGCATGCATGCATGCATATATACATATAGACATACATTAAAAAATTCAATGAACTGGCCACTTCTTATAGCAGGTGAGGTTTTCATTTGCAGGAATGGACTACATTCAATAGAGTTTCTGGCCAAGGAGATCCCATGGAAATCCCCAAACAACCAGGCTGTTGCTAAGACAAAGGGTTGCTTTCTCCAAACTGACACAGTGGCCCCAAGGTGGAGGACAACACCCACAAAACTTACTGAAATTGGGAAGTCAAGCTGGTATCTAGATGGAGCCCTCACCCCCATATTCTAGGCTTTTTGATGCATGAAGGTACTCTGCAGGCTACTGAAAGAGAAATATGGCTGTCAACCCAGCCACACAACTCTCCACCTACAGTCTGTCCTGCCTGCAAAATATGCTAGGGCAATGGTGGGTCAGAACTTGTGGAAGTAACCAACCAATGTCTGATTTGACCTAAAGCCCACTCCACAAAAAGGAACTCATACCTGACACTGCTTGGGTAACCAAGAACCAGAGACTGGATAGCCCAGAGACCTAGAGTAAAACCAAATACTACTGGTCTAAAAAAAAAAAAAATCAATAAAATGATTCCTAATGATATTCTGCTATACTCATAGATCAATGCCTTATGCAGTCACCATCAGAGAGGCTTCCTTCAACAGCTGATGGAAACAGATGCAGGGAGGGACACACAGCCAGACATTATGCAGAGAGAGAGGCTAAATTGGAGGCATCATATAACCCCTCCCCTCTGAGCTCAGGGAATCCCGAGGAAGAAGATTGTAAGTCAGAGGGGTTGGAGGACACCAGGAGAACAAGTTCCTCCAAATCCACTAAGCACGGTGTATATAGACTCACAGAGACTGAGGCAGCAAGGCAGGGCCTGCACGGGTCTGCACCAGGTCCTCTGCGTGTATACCATAGCTAGCAGCTTAGTGTTGTTATGACACACCAGACCGTGAGAACAGTGAGTCTCTGACTCCTGCGTCCTCCTGTTGGTTGTTGTGTGCAACTTCAGTATGCTAGAATTTTCCCTCACCAAATAATATTTTATTTTGTTATATTAATAAATAAATATGCAAATAAAAAGGCTTTAAAAGGAAATAAAATTAAATAACATCTTTGGCTAATAAAAAAGAAAAACAAAAACAAAAGCCTGAGAAACAGGTAGCATCATATTGGCCAAGCGAGGCTATTTCAGCTCCACCTTTGAGAGGAGTGGGCCTATGGCCTCCCAGCAGCTCACCGATCTGCAGGGGCCCAGAGAGACCAACCTCCTAGGCCCTCCTTGGCACAGAGAGGCAGAGGGACAGGTCATCACCTGCAGGCCTGGCTCCTGCCAAGACAGCCAGTTACTATTAGTTTCTCTAGCAGATTCCACGCCATAGAAATAGATGGGTTTTGAGTTCACCACATCCAACTTCCTTGTCTTACAGACATGAAAACTAGGCCTGGAGAAGAACTGTGGCTTAAGGTCATGCTGTGAGAGAAGGAAAGATCTAGAACGTTTCCCATTACTCTGAGCTGCCTCCTGAAAGTGCCTTCTCCCAGCAGATGGGCTCCCAGCCTACTAGTGAGCAGGAGGACCACCTGACAGGGTCCCCTGTAGCTCACCTTAGCACTGTGTCAGCCTAATCTGATGATAAAGGACAACAGCATTGTTAGGAGAGAGGTAAACCACACACTGGCCTCTGCAGCCCAGTCACTGTGACCTTGACAATAACTTTGGTGGGTAATCCTCCAGCAAGTTCCTCCCAGCCTGGGCCAAACTGAAGTCTTCATTTCTTGTGTTTTTGAGCACCAGGGTCTCTGGAAAAGCCAGGCTTCTGAGCTGCTGCCGGGCCTCGGGCTGAATGGGTACAGTGTGATGTTGTCAGGTTCTTGCCCTCCAGAAGGCAAGCCTGTTCCTCCTCCCCTCCAGCTTGGAGTCCTGGGACAGGAGATATGTGCTTCATGGATGCCTCTCACTCCAACACAGAGGCAGCACATTAGGAGCCCCAGCAAGAATGGAAGCAGGGTTTGGGAGCACTGTGACTAGTCCCATACCGTGGGTTACTTGGTGTATCTGTGTCAGCAGTGTACATTGGCATAAGGCACAAACGAGGCCTACTGTTGACTGATTCTAGGTGGTGTGTATGCAGTAAATATTTTGTCTGCATTTTGTAGAGTGGAAAAGTTTCATACTGAAAAGTTACAAAATATCTTTACCAGGATTGCATCATCATTTCTATTTCTAGAAATGTGTGTCCACATGCAGGCAGTCATCCTCCCTCCCTCCCTCCCTTTCTTTCTTTCCAGCTTTGCAACCCAGGCTGACCTGAACTCGACATACGGCCTAGGCTGCTTCAGACTCACCACAGCCCTCCCAGCTCAGCCTCCTGACTGCTATTACAGGTATAAACACCATACTCAGCTATCTATTGTTTTCTGTTCTATATGTGGTAGCTCAGACATGTTCGTTGCTGCTTAGCACACGGCCCTTTCTGTTCATTCCTCATGTCCTCGGGTAGAACCCACCTTCACACTCTGTCCATCTGTCCAGAAGAGTATCTACCTGAACAAGAGCGAATGGCACTAACCTTTTTTCCTTCTTGGCCCTTCATGCCATGGACCGCCCACGCCAGTTTATACTATTATGGCCATCATCCCCTATAACTTTTATTAAATATATATTATGTGTGAAATACTGAGCCATGAGTTTTCCATCAACCTGCTAGTGAATTCTGAGGATAACTTTCTTATATGCATGCCATTTATGCCTCGCTGTGATTGCCTGCCCCTTTAAGGTAGATTTGCTTCCCAGGTTTGCCTCTAGGTGGGTATCAGCACAGCCCGGGGTGGCCTGCTTAGCACCACATAACTTTCTCAACTTCAATATGGCCCAGAAGAAGCTCCAGCCTGTTCACAGCCTATTCCCTGATGGGTCAGGTTGGATCACAATGGTCCACGCTCCATTCTTTCCTCAGGACTGATGCATCCCCTTGTCTCCTCCCAGTTCATCTTGAGAAACAAAAGTCACCACCTTTTAGCAGCTCCCTCCCCTGAGCAGGCTACATTCCTCTTGCTGGCACCCCTCCTGTACCTCCTCACCTACCTCTCCTTACCCAAGATGCAGAGTAACAAACATCCCCAGCCCTAGCAGCAGCTTTGACACCCCCAGGTCCCCATCTCCTCCATCTGATGCTCCTTCCTGGGTGTGCCATCTGCCAGTGGCCAGAGGCAAGTGGCTAAATCTCTTACAGTTGGACCGTGCTGCCCACTGAGACACTGACTCACTTCTGTTTCCTGAGGTTCCACTGTTTTGTCCCATTGAGAAACTTTGAGGGAAATGTGTCAAGAGGAAGCTGCCCAGGGAAAGTGAAGAAAGGAGAGTCCTTCTGACAGCATTCTTCCTGCTGTGATGTCACAGTCCTGTTGGGAAACACTCTGTAGCTGCCGTTCTCCACCACACATCAGGTCTCCACTCACTGCCTTTGGGCTCCAAGACATTGTCACATCCACTGACCCCCTCACCCAGTTCTCCCCAAGCCAATGATGTTAAAACATACAGACTTGCCACCTTCCAAGGCCAGGGGACAATTACTCACACACCACCTTGTTTCTCCGAGACAGGATCTCTCACTGACATGAATCACGCAGGCTGGCTGCCTGGCTCCATCTCCCCAGGGCCAGATTATGTGTGTTCACCACCACATCTGGTGTTTTGTATGTGGCTTCTAAGGAGCAAAATCAGGTCCCTGGGCTTTACCAACCAAGGCTTCTCCTCAGACCTGAGTGATCTTTAATCTCATTCTATCCATAGTTCTCAGTATGGCCATATGGCTGAATTACTCACGAAGCAGGGTATCTGGGCTCTACTCTTGGAGGCTCTGTGTCCACAAGCCTGCAGAAAGGCCAAGGAATCTGCATTTTAACAAGCAGCCTAAGTGATTCTGGCCCGAGACTCCAGCTAGACCAGCTACCCAAGGACAGACACAGCATGCCATGAGCACAGACACCGAGTCTGAACTATTCCTTAGTTTTATGTATATTTCTCTTTGGGGCAGGATTTCATTACGGAGTCCAGACTGTCCTTGAACCCTCCATCTTGTTGCCTCACCCTCCCAGCTGCCGGAATTAAAGACGGGCACCATTGCTCTGATTTCATTCTGCTGCTGAGAAGAAATCAGCCGAGGGGGAAAGGTTCACTTAGCTTACAGTTCCAGGTCACCATCCATTACTGCAGGGAAGTCAAGGCAGGAACTCAAAGTGTCCAGGTACATCACACCCCAGTCAAGAGCAGAGAGAGGATAAAAAATTGGATTCTCGTGGTCTGCCTACTTCTGACCAGCTAGGGTTCCTTATTCTAACTATATACAGGATGAGTGTTCCCACCTCAACCATCAATCAAGACAAGGTGGCACAGACAGGCCCTCAGGGGACAACTCCCCAGCTGAGGCTCTCTTCACAGGTGATTTCTAGTCTATGGCAAGTTGACAAGTTAAGAGCTGTAACAGACAACACACAGCTTGTGTGTTTGTGTGTGTGTGTGTGTGTGTGTGTGTGTGTGTGTGTGTGTGTACGTGAGCATGTGCGCGCACATGCATGTGTATAGAGCTTTCCTCCTTGGTTTTTGTTTTCTTTGTTTTAAGACACGATCTCTCACTGACAGGGAGAGAGTCTCTAGGTAGTCAGCAAGCCCCAGGGAACTAGCTGTCATGGCTTCCCCAGTTCCTATATTATAGGTATGACCCATCCTAACCAGGTTTTCATATGGTTTCTGTGGAGAGCATTCAGGTCCCCAAGCTTCCGTTACAAGCTCTACACCACGTTGGCCTTGACTGGACCATAGCCTCCTGCTTGGTTCTTTAGGCAGAAAACAAACATACTGAGACAACCACCTTCTGGATCAGTGCTCCAAAGACTCATGCCAGAGCACCATGGTAAAGTGAGTTCCACAGAGGCCTCTGCCAGCAGATGAGACTATGGGGTTGGAAATGCGCTGTGCTTCATTAGCGCAGGATCATACAGACAGCTGTGTCACAGGGAAACGTCCTTCTGTGATGGAAGCGTGCCTAAGGCTTGGGATCTCTTCATGGAGTAGGGAAAATCTCCCTGCCAGGAAGGTGCTTTCCTGGCCTGAGGTGAGGAACAGCCACTTCTCAGCCTGCTGACTGAGATGCTATGTGGTGAGATGTGATTGCCCTTGGGAACCTTAGCATGAAGTTGGCCCCAGGCATTGCTGAAGTAGAATGAACTAATGTACCATCCTTTCCCCACCCACAGGGTTCCTTGTTCTTAGAGCCCAAAGAGATGGGAAACAAGAAAATGACTGTGTGTCCCAGAAACAGCATCAGGGCACCTGGGAGGAGACAGAGGTGACAGGAGGCGAGAGGGAGGTACTCTGGGGACAGCCTCCCCAGCCTGGGATGGGCTCCTGCCCCACCCTGTCTCAGCCCAGGAAGAGGCATTCAGCTGGCAGCAGAGCCCTCCCTGGCTCTCCATCTCTTGTCTTTGGAGCCCTTCAGCAAGGGAACTAGACTTCATTCCTGCCAGGAGGTGGTAGCCTACTACTCCTGTGGCCTCCTCTGGTCACACACATCTTGGTCTTCCTGGGTTGCACTGAGGAGGCAATGATGAAAGGCACACAGCATGTTGATGCATGTCCTGATGCAATCCTATGGATTCCATCTCCTCCTCCAAGAGTCTCCCAGACAACAGCATCCACCTTAACTTGATTTCTCTCTTCCAAGGTGGGATCTTGTCTTCTTGGTTCGTAGTTGGGGGTGTTCAGAGGACCATAGATGAAGACAAATCTGAGTGCCTTGTTCCCAGAGAGGAAGGCCCCAGAGGCTGGAAGAGCAGGCTGCTTCATGAGCAAGAGCCTGGCCCAGGTGGCTAGAATTGTAACCCCCAAGGGAAGGACAAGGGGGAGGAATAGCAGTGGTGACCCCTAAACCTCCCAATTCCCACAGAAAGTGACATGAGGAGCAATGGTTCTGTCTTTATTTCAGGCCAGCTTATCTATTCAGGCACAATGGCCAGAGGGTGCTGGGCAGTTTCCTCTCTTCTGAGGATGTATAGCAGACACCCAAGATGATGGACAGACTGAGGAGAATGGGCAGGGCCAGCAGGGGACATCCTGAGTCCTAGATGCCACCCATGATGACAGGCTCAGTTCATGTCACAGTCCCTCCTATGCCCCCACCCCCAGTTCCTCCTGTGAGACAGACATGGCTGAAAGTCAGAGGTCATTGTTGTGTGACATGGTCTGTCTTCCAAATGACCTCTGTGTGACAGCAAACATGACCGTGAAGACCAGGGTCTTACTGAAGAGTCCACAGACCACGGGAACAACAATGCTGGATATGAACACCCTGCAGAGACAGGAGATTGAAGGCTGACTCAATGACCACCCACAGTGCAGTCTAGGGAATCCTTCCCCATCCACTCTTTCCAGCTTAGGCCCTCCCTGCAGCTTTCCCACGACCTGTGAGGAAGTCAATGCAGTTTATCTGGCCGCTTCCTAAAATAACCAGTAAGAAGTATGTCTGTTGGAGAGTCACAAGTTCAGGTCCAGAGAAGAACAAAGGAGAAGGGTTCACTCAGGCATCTTGGCTTTCTCTGTGAAGACAGGGAGGTCCATATCTAGGGGACCTGGACCCTGTCGTCAGCACTCTGACCTGCTTCTGGGGACACTTGTCCTACCTTTAGCCTCATTTTCCCCATCAAGAAGCCAAGAGGAACCTAATCTTACTGAAAATCCCATTGCAGAGTTGTCATGATTTTAGCAAAAGTGATTCTGTAAGTTCCAGGTAGACAGCTGAAAACATAAGAAACAGACCCCCACAGGAGAGAGAGCATTGCTTGACTTGGGCATATAGGGAAGTAGATAAGGACAGGGTGCTCTATATGATAGGACACAGGGACTGAAGGAGTAGGTGACAATGAGTCTCATAGAGGCCTCATAGCATACTCATGATATATAAGTGTGGGGGCCTGTGCAAATGCCACAGCCATCAGTCTGTGTGAGGCAAGAAGGAAATTTGATTCAAGAAAACTCAGTAGATGATGTTGGTTCAAACTTCTAAAGTCTGACCCCAGGGAGTTTATTTTAGGTATATCTAAGCACAACACAGTTTAGAGGGAAGTTTCCTGATTCCTATTAATTAATTCCTATTAATTCCTATTAATTCCTATTCCTATTCAATCCTGTTTGTACAGCAAAGCTTAAATAACATGTTAACATTGAGATTTTTCAAAGCACAAATGGCCTCTTGCAAAAAGATGACTTCTATTGACTGAGAAACTGTGCTCAAGAGAAGGATCTAGGGAGGAAGAGTCTGGGGGTGGTCAGGAGTGGCGTGCCTCTGCAGATATCACAGAGGTCACCAGGCTGTAAACCACCTCCATTCCCAGCAGAAAACAGGTTATGCATCTCTTTCCTTGAAGAGAAAACCTTGCATGTTTAACAATTCTGGTTTCCCTTGTGCTTATATGTGAGCACATGCCTTTTCTATATAAGAACTCAATGACTAACAAAGCCAGACATCCTGGCTCATGCCATAACCCCAGCAGTGGGTAGGCTAAGGCAGAAAGATCACAAATCTGCAGCCAGTATGGACCACAGAATGGAACCTGTCTAGATGTGTAAATAGAATGCAATGGCTTGGTCAAATCAACGATCTATTTAGTAAAGGATGGT